TAGCAGCAAAAATAGAAGGAGTAGATAATCTCCGCATCCCAACGAGCGGAGAAACGATGCACAAAGTGGACGCTCAAACGCTACAACAACAATTGTCCGAAGGCTTTCACGACGAACCAATCACCGTGACGATATGTACAGGTGAAATACAAACACCGCCAGAGGACCACCGAGAAGATATCATCCGCCACTATCACGAAAGTTTAATAGGGGGTCACAAAGGAGTAACTAAAACATATCGACGGATACGGAACCTTTTCGACTGGCCTAGAATGCATCGAGATGTGGAAGACTATATTCGGTCCTGTAAAAGCTGCCAAGAGCAAAAATTAGTACGGATCAAAACACGAGAACCAATGCTCATTACGGATACGCCAGCCAGACCTTTTGATAAAGTAGCACTAGACACTGTCGGCCCTCTTCCATTCACGCCAAGTGGAAATAGACACATTCTCACGCTTCAATGCCAACTCTCAAAATTTTGCATGGCCATTCCATTACCGGACATCCGAGCTGAAACCGTAGCAGACGCCTTCTCGCGTTACTTCATCGCAATGTTCGGCGCGCCACGGGCAATCCTCACGGATCGCGGCACGTCGTTTATTAATCAAGTTCTTAAAGGAATAGCCAAAACATTTAATGTCGAACACGTCACCACCTCTGGTTACAGGCCCCAAACAAACGGTTCCCTTGAGCGTAGTCACCACGTACTCATCGAATATCTAAAACATTTTATAGAAAACAAGCATGACTGGGATATTCTTCTTCCTTTCGCAACGTACTCGTATAACACCTCAACACACGAGGCGACAAATTTCACGCCCTACGAAGTAGTTTTCGGCCAGCTAGCAAGAGATCCTTTCACTCCCATGACTCGCGAAGAACTCCTGACCTATCCAGCATACATTCAAAATTTAGTACAACGATTAGAAGAAATCCGTCAAATAGCTAGGAAAAATCTGGAACAAAGCAAAGAACGCTCAAAATTACAGTACGATAGAAAAATTAAAGAAGTCGAATTCTCTCCCAATGATCAAGTTTACGTGTTAAAAGAACCACGTCTTAGTAAATTTGACCCTCATTATATCGGCCCATTCAAAATCTGTGAAATAACAGAAAATAACAACGCAATTCTCACGGACGAACAGGGAAGAAAATTCGCAAAACACCTTAATAAACTAAAACTTGCACATTCGAGAAATTTTGAAAACAAACACGATACCACCTGGAAACCTCCCCCTTTCGACCCCACCTGAGTAAAAGGTATTTATTTTAGGAAATCCTGTACCCAACTAACAGTTGACCTATGCCCATAAAATACTAGATAGGTCAACCGAACCAACATGGGCCCCTGGTACCTGCTACTAAACATCGCCTCGATCCAGTTCGTGACTGCAAACCATATGGAAGGTGACTACTCCGTTACACGTCTAAGGAACAACCCCGGACTATACCCCGAAAAACTAGCCCCTATCCGCACGTTCCGGACAACGTGGAGACTAGTCACAGCCCTGGACGTAACGGAAATCCTAACCAGCCGCCCAGACACCATCTTCGCAGTAAACCGCATGAAGATCATGTGCAAAAGCCAAAACATTACATCATGCCCCGCGGACACCCTGAAAGAAGAATTAGATAGAAAACTCGCGGAGGCAGTACGTTACGAAAATTTATTAGCACACGCGCTCGGAAAGAATGCGGTTAGAGTAAGACGAGCCCCTCTCGGATTCATCGGCTCGATCAGCAAAACTTTGTTCGGAACACTCGACGAAACCGACGCCGAATATTATAACCGCGAAATCGATAAAATTTATAACGACCAAAAACAAATAACTTCTCTAATTCACAATCAGACTCACGTAATTAAATCCGAATTCCGAAAAGCCTACGATACGCTGAACACTCTTTCTAAATCGGCAACCACAATGAATGCTAGAATCGAACACATGCTCTCTAAAACATCAGAAATTGGTAAAAGAGAAGACCAATTAGAATTAGAACTAGCTATGTCCTCCTGGGGAACCCGATTGACCCGTCAAACGGACGAATACGTACTAATGCTATCCACCCTGACTGACGCCGTAATGTTCGCAAAATTGGGAATCCTACATCCAATGATCCTATCACCGGACCAACTAATCACAGCATGCCAAACCATCCAAACTTCTACAAATCTGGAATTCCCGCTCTCAATGGAAGAGTTGAGATCGGAGCAACTTCAGGGCACGACAACAATGAGTGCCGTATACGCAAAAGGAAGAGTAATCATCACGATAGACTTTCCTCTCCTAGAACCCAATTCCTACGAACTATACCACCTATATCCCTGTCCTTCTTTCCAACAACTTAATGCAAATACTTCCACCCCTCTGATGATCCAACCACAAACAGACTTCCTTGCAATAGACCAAACTACTACTACCTTTTTCTCCCCTGACAAAACCTACCTCAAAACCTGCAAAAACCCTAATGGAAGACTCCTCTGTGAAACCACGCTCCCGCTCCAAAACTATGAGCAAAGTCATATCTGTGAAATTGACCTCATCTTGCGTCCGGAACACCTACAGTGGAAGCAATGCAATGTGAAAGCGGCTCCAGCAAACAACATCCAAATTACGAAGCTGGAAGCTCCCAATACCTGGCTATTTTCGATCCAACACAAAGAAGCAATCCAAATCAAATGCAATAAAAGATCGGCCGGTTACGAACAAATACAGGGTGCAGGAATAATACAGCTGCAAAGCCACTGCGAGGCAACCATCGATCACACCAGAATCATGGCATCCGGAATAAAAACCCAGAAATACAACTACACATTCAAACCAAGTTTCGGCCTCAATATATCGAACCTCATCCCAGATTTAACCCCACACCATATTCAAATCCTGACAAAACTCCAAGAAAATCAGCCAAAATTCACACCTATCAATATAGACCCAGACAACCTCTTAACCTTGCAAGAAATAGACAATCAAGCGCAGGATATAGCACAACACCACCGGGCTCTAACCCACACGGCCTACGTCACCTACGGTTCATTATCAGCCATAAGCGTTGTTATTGCAATAATAACAGCGGTAATAGGATACCGATACTACAGAAAACAAACCAGGATCGACAACCAACCCAGACGCCGCCAATTCACGCCAGAAGACATCGAAATGCAGAGCCGACCGACCGTCACCCCAACGTCGTGGCCCTCAGATCTGCAAATAGCAGACTCACCAGAAACGCAACAACAAGATGGAACAACAAATCCCACCTTCAAGACCAAAACAATCCTTTTTTACTAACAATGAGGATTGGAACGAACAAAAGGACAAATAAAAGAAAATAAAGACAAACTCAGATGATTAGACACATATATTTTTAACTAAATTACAAGTCGCCGAAAAGGGGTGCGATGTTTAACATGCGGTCCTCATCCCAGTCCCATAAATCAAAAAGGTACTGGCGGTATTCTTTTCGCCATCGCTGGACCGCCTTCCGGTACCGGATATTAATTTGGCCCGGATAGATCTCGTACGTCCCATCTGTCCGCTACAACAAAACACCAAGATCTATTGAAAAAAAAAAAAAAAAAAAAAAAAGGGGGGGGGGAGAGAGAGAGAGAGAGGAAACATAATAAGACTGCAAACCACTTACCCAGGTACGGAACAACTCCCGCATGGACGGAAACAAATCAATGCAAGCATACATTTCGACAGTAAAGTAATTTTTCAAATACTGACACCGCTCGACCGACCAGTATATATACCACTAAGTCCCCACCGGGTTTGCCGGGAGCATAGCAACGATTAGAGCCACATCGACAATTTTTCAATAGCCACCATGGAATGTCTAATTCAGCGTATCCGTAGACACCACACTCCAAAATCAATCCTTTTATGGTCACGTAGATTTTTTTCACTCGGCACCAATTTCAAAATTATCGACTGTCTAGCGTGGGGGGGAGTGTGCCCCGTGGCCACTACAAAAAAAAAAAAAAAAAAAAAAAAAAAAAATAAAATAAAATTTTTACACTTTACAAAACTGTACATATCTGCGACACTTCATACACATATTTTCTTTTCTTTATATTTTCAACAGCTGCGCATCGTTGTAGTATCTTCGGCACCTTTTTCTTTGTATTTTGAACAGCTACCTTTTATTGTACAGATTTTCACCATTATTTATACTCTGTGAATGCATGATTGAGCGTATGAGGGTGGCGAACGACGTAAACACCTTACACAAGATGCACTCTCGAGAGCATTTTGTGTCTAGCGTGGGGGGTGTTACGTCCCTAGTTATAACCCATTTTCGTCTTTCGCCATTTCAAGGAGGTCTCGCTTTGGAATCCGCGTAACATCAGCGTTTTTTCGCTTAGCGACGCCCGCGATACGAAATCGGGGAACTCGCGGAATGCGATGGCGAAAACCCTTTGCTTGCAGGTTTTCGCAAGCAAAGAGCGTGACCTACTCCCCTTTTGGGAGTATAAGTTATCGCCACAACGCAGGTACGCCAGTTCCGTGATAGCGTAAAGCAGAGACGAAGTTCTGTCCGTTCGCGACCCGCAGTAGATCCGCGAGTAAGGCTAAACTCGAAACCAGGAAGATCATCGACGAAGTGCTCGCCCGACGGTTCAACACGAGTGTGTCGCCGTGGTCTGAGATAACAGACCCATAATTGGACCAAGTCCAGGAGTGCACCCGTGTGCTGTGCAGGACCACCACCAACCGCTTGTATCTCCAAGGTCGAGTCGTAGCCACGCGTCGCGAGTCTAGTGTATCGTCCGAACCGCGAAGCAAGCGAAAACCGAGACCCTCAGTGTGAATGACCATCGAGTGAATACGAGAACGAACGAGCGACGAACAACACCCGAAGTCGGCGAAGGGTATGTAACAACAGGGACAGAATATATATATATATCTATTGAAGACCCATACATGTCTATCTTTAATAATTGAACACTCCATCCTGTACTCCTATACTACCTGCAAGGAAGGTCAAGGTACGCTTTAGCGTTTTGATCGGCAGAACCCAGAACATAGTAATAGTGAAATAACCATCCTTAAGGTGGGACATAACAAGCTCATTGAAGCATTGAAGACTACGCGCAATTTCGTGGTCTGGCTTTCCTGACGCAATACAGGTAAGTGTGAAATAAAAACTTTATCGTTTAAAGATTCGGTTTCCCTGATTCGACTCATGTGACCTAAATCAAGATACTCTTGCAAAAAGGTCTGATATTCCCTATACACCTCGGGATTCTTCCTTACTCGCACTTCGTTTGACTGAAAGATTTTCCTCGCAATATTTGCAGTGTCCCCGACCGTGAGCTTGGGGTTTTTTGCGAACGGCAACCTAACCTCGTAACGTCCGTCGATACGGCGGCGGTGAGTCTCTTTGAAATGGTTTTCACAGTCTAATTGATCGCGAGTTAATCCTAACCCCTTTGGAGTCTCCTCTAATTCCCAGAATTTTTTCAGATTTTTGTGCAGATCGTCGAGTATCTCAACGTGATGGACTTGCAGCCCCGATCGCAAGCCTCCGCGTGTTGGCCCACACGATCCCGACAGGACCCAGCCAAACACGGTACGCTGCGCGATCGGGGTGCCGGGAGGACCTTTTACCACCCCATCCAGCATAATTTTGCCGTATTCGTTAGCCCCGATGAGTAAGTCAAACCCTTGAAAGTCACTGGGCTTTGGATCAGCAAGAGGTAAGTCGACTAAGTGCTTCCATTTTGAATCGAATTCGAAAGAACTCGGAGTGTAAGAGGTTAGGCTCTTTAATACCAGAGCCGAGAATCTAATTTTGGCTTCCTCCCTATCTTTTAGATTACAAGAGGACATCTCTAGTTCGACCGCATGTTTTACCCTTCCCGCGCGGACCCCCCCTATTCCAGAGAGATTTACCGCGACAGGTAATTTTTTGGATTTCAAGTGGTCTGCTATGCGTTCGGTCACACACGTGACCTGCGAACCCTGATCCAGCAGTGCGCGCACGAGAATAGTTCTGCCATTGTCCGCGGTAATTTTGACACACGCGGAAGGCAGCAGTGCTTTATTAATGCGAGAATAAGCTACATGGCACGTGGATGATAGCTCCTTCTCATCCTGCTGAGAAGTGGAGGGTAAATCAGTCTCTGCTGCCTTCTGCTGTGTTTCAGCAGCTCGACCGCTGCTGACATTGGAGTCGACGTTTTTAAAGTGCACCAACGTGTGGTGTTTGCCGTGACAGGCGACGCAGGCTGACTTTGAGAGGCATTTTGCTGTACCATGCCCCGGTTTTAGACAGCGAAAACATAAATGATTCTCGAAAAGAAAGGCACGCCGTTCATTGACGTGTTTCTGCTTAAATTTGTTACAAGTTGCTAAGGCGTGGCTTGCTTTGCAGAATGCACACTTAATAGCACTAGAGTCAGTCTGATGTGACACTATAGACGTGCGTTTATCTGAACTTCGTTTTTTAATCTTTGACTCGTCAGTCTGCGCCGTCTGTTTGCTCGATTCAACCGCATCAAACGCGCGTATCCGGCAGGTTATGAATTCGTCCAATTCTGCGAACGATGGCAGCGCGGTGCTGCTCCCCAATTGAAGTTCCCAATCATTCAAGGAAGCGCGGTCTAATTTTGAGATTATTAGAAAATTGAAAAGGTCGTCCCAGCTTGCTACCGGTCTCCCCAAATTAGTTAGTGCTTGACGAACATCGTTCGCCTTATCTCGCAGGTTGCGCAATTCCTTGGCAGATGGGCGGTTTATATTGGGTATTTCTGTGAGCGTTCGCAGATGTGAGTGGACTATTAGACGCGTGTTATCGTACCTTTTTCTCAGGAGTTCCCATGCTGTGGTGTAATTTGATTCTGTTACCGCGATATTCTTTAGAGTTAAGGCGGCTTCGCCCGAAAGACTGGATTTTAGATAATGAAGTCTCTGTACCCCTGTTAGTGCAACGTTCTGATCTACCAATGCCAGAAATAAGTCACGATAATTCTCCCACTCATGGAAGTCTCCTGAGAAGGTCGGCATTGTAATTTGCGGTAATTTAATTGAGTTCACGACGTTTTGCGAATTAGCAACGTGAGTTTCGTCAAACGACGACTGCGCGACCGGCGGAGGCTTTAATTTCGCGAGGTATTCGTTAAAATAATCACACGCTTCTTCAAATATACAAGATGTTTCGACAAATAAATCTTTGACAAAGTACTCATCCTTTGCAGTTGCTTCCTTGTCTGCCAGCGCGAGGATCTGCATGTGCTGCTGGACGAACTTCTCCCAGTATCCCCGTAGGTTGCTGAGCCTGCTGCTGGTGACGGTTGTGGTTCGCTGCGCCTTTCCCAGCTTAGTGAAGTTGTCCACTGCTCGGCTGATGAGACCCCTGGAGGCGGATTGAGCTGCGTACAGCTCCTTCAGGGACAGATCCTTGGAGGCCATGTCGGTTGATCGACTCCGTGTAGCGTGTTGGAGGGTGTCGCTGCTTCAGTGAAGCCCAGGCACCTTTGCTGGCAAATTTGTGCGTCCCGGTATAATCCGGTAAAGGGTGTCGCTGCTTTTGAAGCCCAGGCACCGTGTTTTAAGCACAAACTGCACTCCCGATCACTATATCCGGCTCGAAGGACCACTTTTACTGTTTGCGAATTTATAGCTGGCTTTTGCCGCACTATTATGCCGCTAGTGAATCGGGTTTTAAATAAATGCGCTTCACTTTGACTAGGAGATAGTTTATTTAATACGAGAGCCGCTTACCGCGGAGGCTAGTGGTTACAAGTCACTGTTCGCGCAACTCGTTTAAAACTTTGAAAGATACTGTACTCGCTCGCCAAGGATTGTTACTCTAATTGTTCTAATCGCCTTTGTTGTTCCGGCTCCTTTATAGATTCCGGCAGGCACACGGATTTGTTTCACGGAGCTCCCGAGCGCCAATTAGGGGGCTCCGTGACCTTTTTATTGCCTTATTTGGTAATATGTTTCGCGACTTGTCTATGTGTGAGTGCCTGACACTCTTCCGTGCCGGGCCGGAGAGTGGGGCGCGGAGGCCAGGGTCAGGCCCTTTTTTCGTCTCCGCGTTCGACAGTTTTTTGCGATTCCTTTCTTTTTGTCCGGTTTAGCGCGAGATTGTTCTAGAACGGCTTTTATTTTCTGCGATTGTTAGAATGTATTTCCTTTCATTACAATAAATGTTTAATTTAATTATTAATAATTTGTTGGCGATGCTTTCTTTCACAAACATGTAGATATACCAATAATGACATTGTTATTAAATGTATATTACATATGTGATGTAGATATAGTAATAGTGACATTGTTATTAAATGTATATTACATTATATCTCATGTAGATATAGTAATAATGACATTGTTATTAAGTGTATCTTACGTTACATCTCATGTAGATATAGTAATGGTAACATTGTTATTAAATGTATATTACATATCTAAGGTTAACGTGCCATTAATGATATTGTTATTAAATGTATACTACATTATATCTCATGTAGATATAGTAACAATTATATTGTTATTAAATGTATACTATATTGTACCTCATGTAGATATAGTAATAATGACATTGTATTTAAGTAAATATCACATTATTTATCATGTAGATAGAGTAATAATGACATTGTTATTAAATGTATATTACATTATACCTCATATAGGTATAATAATAATCGCCCCTGTGGCTGGGGGTTTATAGAATACAGCCTCGGTATCCCCTGCCTGTCGTAAAAGGCGATTAAAAGGGGGCACCGGTGGTGAGAATGGAAATATAAGAGTAGCTTAAAAGGCAACAACTACTGTTACACCTAGACACCGATTCTGAGACCCGGAACTTGCTACTTACGGACGGCTACATCTTATGACGAACTTTGCTACTCACTAGGACGAACTCTAACAAATACTAGACATGAATTACACAAACATAAATAAGAAAAGTTACGGTACAGGAGGGTTCGGAATCTCCAGTACCGGCTCGGAGGGTGGTGAGTGTACAGGCCCCCCCGAGTCGTTATCCAGCGACTGTACATCGCAGGCCGCGAGTCGTCAGGCCCCTGCGAATGTAACTGCGCCTGGCGAAGCTATTGAATCATGGCTTGGTCCACTAAGGGAAGAGGACGCGTTCAATAAGAAGCCGAAGGTCAAACGCACCCCCCCAGGAATTTGTATACCGAAAGAACCGGATAAAACTCGACTGGATTCCGTGGGCCTCACCGGTGATGAAGAAGAGGACGACGTAGATCATACATGCAGGGGAAATCTAACTGATAGTTTGCGTGAGAATAAAAAGGGCTCCGGAAATATTTCACTGGAGAAAAAAATGGACCTCTGTTTGGAGGCCATAGCCAGGATGCTAGAGGCCATAAAGGATAATAACACGAAGATCAGGAGCTTCATGCTAAAGAGTAAGGATGTTACACCCAAGGTTAGGGATACGTACATGACCATGGGTTATTATCTTGAAAAAGTGACGGAAACCATTGATGAGATGAGAGGTGTACACACAGAACGAGCAGCTTGCCGGACGATGGAGGTTGAATCTGAAAAGAAGGAAAAAGAGAATTATAAGGACGTTTTGACGCAGTCTCTAAGCGAAGTTGATAGGACCTTCCCGCCGTTGCCATCCACGAGGCAAAAGAGGAAGGAAATCACCCCTCCGACAGCGAACGTGGGCAAAAAATCAAAATACGTATTTAATGCTGGCGGATTTGGAAAAGAAGACTACAACAATGGGGTCGGGGATGCTGGTACTCCCAGGTCGGGAATTATGACGAAGGCCACGGATTCGGATTGGGAAACCGTGCAGCCGAGGAAGAGAAAAACCGGAGCGGAGAAGAGACGCATTAGGGCTGAGGAAGTCCGGATGCGAGCGAGCACAAAGGGTATAAGCGACAGGTTTGGAGAGCGTGTTACGCAGAGCAGGAGACCGGTAAGGCCACAGGCTATCTCGGTCCGCTTTGGAAAGGAGGCGTCCTTCGCTGATATTTTGAAGAAGGTAAAGGGTGCCGCCGGCCCCTCCCCAGATGGGGTCAAAGCGGTCAAGCAAACACGTGCGGGGAACCTGCTAATAGAGTTTACCCCGGGTGCAGACCTGGAGGGCTTTAGAAAGACGTTAGATGGCAAACTCGGGCCGGATGTTGAAGTTGCGAGGCTGCAACAAAGAACTGATGTGGAGTTAAGAGGAATTGATCCCTCGGTAGATAAGGCAGAGATTCTTACTGCTATCAAGAAGGAGATAGGGCACGAAGTAATGGAGATGAAGCTCAAGGTACTAAGGGCTGACCCGAGGCAAAACCAGGTAGCCATAATAGAGGGCCCTGCAAATGAAATGCTTAAATTGATAAGGAAGGCTAAAATCAAGATTGGGTGGACAATAGTGTTTGTGAAAGAGATTCCACGCCTCCTTAGATGCTTCCGTTGCCATGATTTTAGCCATATGGCGAAAAACTGCAAATGCGCAAAAGACGACATCAGTTTTTGCAGAAAGTGTGGCAGCCAGGATCACCAGATGCGGGAGTGCACGGCAGAACCTAGATGTAGGTTATGCTGTGAGGATAACTTACCTGTGGAGAAGACGATGCATGTAGCTGCCTCGGTGAAGTGCCACAGATACAAGGAGGCCTTGAAAAGCAAAAGGCAAAACTAACGTCTTACAGATTAACTTGAATCATTGCAGAACTGCCCACGACCTCCTGATGACCTCTGCGAATAGATATGAGGCGGACCTTATTGTGGTGTCGGAACCGTACAGAGTGCCGGAGAATTGGTTTGTGGACAACTCTGGTCGGGCCGCAATTTATATAACTGAAAAGGGGATAGCGACCAGTAACACTATCGCACTAATTAGCAGCAAGGATGGTTACGTAGTAATAAAATACAATGACTTTTACGTGATCAACGTGTATGCGTCTCCTAACAGCACCATGCAAGACTTCGAATTGCTACTTGCTGACCTAGCTGATACGGTCAAATCGCTAAATAAAAGTTCTGGCATCATTATCATGGGAGATTTCAATGCAAAATCCCCACTCTGGGGGTCGGACGTGTGGTGTAATCGCGGTAGAACACTTTTTCAACTATGTAGTGCGGCGGAACTCCTTCCTACGGTCACGAAGGGCGGAGCTACCTGTGATCGAGGAAGAGGCACCAAGATTGACATCCTATTATGTAACAGGACCGCACTGCATTGTCTGGTGAACTCAGAAGTCACTGATGATTTTACGGCCTCTGATCACAAGTACCTAGTACATACGCTCAGCTTACCAAAACCACCGGAGGGAAAGGCTTCCCCTTTCGATTTAAAGAAAGGTAAATTGGATGAAGGAAAGTTTGTAGAAGCCTTCCTTAAGAAATATGGAGACAAGAGCTTCGACAAACGTCCACGGATGGACACCACCAATGAGGTGGACAAATTCATTGAAGATTTAAGGAAGATGATTAAGCGGCATACTAGATATAACGGATATAACGAGAGAAATTGCGGAAAAGAGAAAGGCGGCACAGAAGGCCAGGCGTTGCCTCACGAGAGTTAGAGCTAAGGGAGACAAAGAGAGGATAAAAGAGTCGTTGAAAGATTACAAAAAATGCAAAATAGAGCTAAACGTGGAGATTAGAAAGGCCAAGAAAAACAGCTGGGCAAAACTTCTACAGGAAATCGACGCGGATATCTGGGGCAGACCATATAAGCTCGTCATGAGGACACTGAAAAACAATAATACCAGACCGGATGTGCTGTGCCCCGAAGAGGTAGATGGTATTGTTGCCAAGTTGTTCATCCTAAGACCGGAATTGACAGAAGACCCTGAAAAAGAAAAAGAAAGAGAGATTATTGAGAAAGAAGACACACACACACATGCGCGCGCGCACACACACGTTCACACGCATGCCCATGATGAAGAGGCCCCACTAAACCGCATGGTCATAACGAAGGAAGAGGTCAGCAAGATAGCAAATAGGTTGTCCCCGAAGAAAGCGCCGGGCCCAGACGGTATCTCCTCAGCAGTAGCAAAGAAGATCGGTCTGGAGGCCCCACGTTGGCTGGCGCATATCTTTAGCATATGCTACAGGTGTGGATACTGGCCGACAGCTTGGAAAACCGGCAGGCTGGTCTTGTTACCGAAAGGTAAAGGCAACACAGCCACCGAAAAAACTTACAGGCCGCTGACCATTATATCGTGCTTAGCAAAGATCTTCGAGCACGTGGTTAAGGACAAGCTGCTGTCGGCGCTTAAGGAAAACGACTTCGCCCATAACCAGTTCGGTTTCCGTAAGGGGAAATCTACCCTAGATGCAATGAAGCTGGTGATAAAACGATGGCAGGAGGCCAGGAGACGTCGTCGTCACTGCCTACTGGTGCTGTTGGATGTAAGAAATGCATTCAACACGGTCAGATGGAGCAGTATAATCCGAAACATGAAACAACGAGGATTCCCAGT